CCCCCCCACCCCGGCCCCAAGTCCCAGCACCCCAGCCCCAGCCCCGAGGGGCAGCCCGAGGTCTCACCTTGTGGGGCTGCTCCCGGGAGACGGCCACGTTGAGCTGGGTGAGGGAGCCGTCCTGGCAGAACCCGGCCAGCTCCTCGCGGTACAGGTAGTCCTCGTCGGAGCGGCGGCAGCCATAGTAGAGCAGCGTCTCCCCCACCTCCTTGCCTGGTGGCAGGGCAGGGGTGAGGCCGTGCTGGGCAAGGGGGGGGAGGGGCAGGGGAGGCACGCCCGACCCCGCGGGACCCCGCCCCGGGCCCACGTGCTCACCCTGCTGCCGCAGCCAGGCCCGCTCCTGGATGAAGCCGATGAACGGGGCCACCCCGGTGCCGGGGCCCACCAGGATGACCGGCGTGGTGGCCTTGAAGGGCAGGCGGAACTGGGACTTGCGCACGAACATGGGCACCAGGGCCCGGCGGCCATTCTCCCCGGCGGGCTCCTTGGCCCGCAGCCAGCTGGTGGCCACACCCTTGTTGACGCGGCCGGACTTGGTTTCGTACTCCACGGCCACGGCACAGATGTGCACGGAGTTGGGGTGGACCTGGCGGGGGCGGGGCAGGGGTGAGCGCATGCCCGAGGCCCCTTGCCGCCGGCCCGGCCCCGGCCCCGGCCCCGGAGGCCGACCGCGCACCTTGGAGGACGAGGCGATGGAGTAGTAGCGGGCCTGGAGCCGGGGCAGCAGCTCGCACAGGTGGTCGATGGGGGGCCGCAGGGACGGGTAGTCCTGCAGGATGGCCAGGATGTGCCTCCGGGCCTCCACCACCCAGCTCAGGTACAGCTCCTGCGGAAGCCGGTAGCAGGGTGAGGCGCGGGGGGCGGGGCCGGGGACGCCGGGGTGCGGGAGGCGAGGGCGTGGCTGGGGCGGGGCCGGGGACACCGGGGTGCGGGAGGGGAGGGCCGGGGCCGGGCCTACCTTGCCCTCCCCCGAGGAGGAGGCCATCCTGCGCAGCTGCTCCTGCTCCGAGGGCTCGGAGGCGTGCTGGGCCAGCTCGTAGAGCACGTTGGTGCGAGGCGGGTTCGTGATGTCCAGGTAGTAGGTGAGGGCCGTGCGGTAGGAGGTGGGGCAGGGGAAGGGGTGCTTCTTGTTGGACTCCTCTGCGGGGAGAGGGGAGGACGAGGGCCTGGGCTCAGTGGCCGCTGACCAGCAGGTCTGCTCCAGCACCTGGAACTGTGGGGGCTCGGGCCTGGCCTGGGGTGGTGGGGGGGGGGTCCCCCGAATCCAGGGGACTCACCATCGAGATTGTTCAGGGACATGACGACGTCCAGGTCGGCACCCAGGATCTCACCGAGCTGGCTGACCAGGGTAGAGTCATTGGCTGGGTAAATGGCCACATGGTCCCCAGATTCATACCTGGGGGTGGGGGTCGAGGGGAACGTGAGGCTCAGGAGGGGTTGGGGGTCAGGGAAGGCGGCCCAGAGGCCCTGAGTGGGCTGGGGGAGGGGGCGGCTGCGGGCACCTGAGTTTGGAGTCTGAGATGTCTAATTCCAGGTGCATGAAGTGGCGCTCCGTTCCCTGGTTCAGCTTCCGGTTGGCAGTGACAGCAGCCAAGAAGGGATTCTTGGCATCGAAGGGGCTGGGTGGGGAAGAGAGCAGCGCAGTGATTGGCTGGGACTTCAGTCTGAATCTCCCTGCCCCCAGGGGACCCCTCAGGTTTCACAGAACACAGGGAACCTTAGAGCCGGCCTCCAAGGGCCCCAGGAAGGCTCTCCAAATATGTGAAAGGTTCTCCCAGCCCAATCCAAGGCAGGGCCCCCAACAACCCCCCAGAGTGGGCAGAACTAGGTTATCAGTTCCCTATTTACAAATAAGGAAACAGAGGCTGGCCACTAAAACCCGGGGAGACCCTCCACGTACTACCTGTTTGTGGGCTGAGTGCGCAGGAGGACCAGGCCCCTTGAAGATGGCTCCCCAAGACCGAGGGTGCCCGGCCCCCCAGTGACTGGAGCAGAGCTCCTTCACCCCACATGCCCTGGACCGTGCACCAGCAGTTTTACTCTGCACAGTCACTGGTCTTAAATTCTGGGGATAACGGGGGAACTTTTCCTGGGCGGCTCTAGGGGTCCGGGTGGCACCCAGGGGTAAGGGGAGTCAGGGGCCCGAGAGAGGAATACTGTTTTTGGACAAAAAAGTCCAAATACCGAGGTGGGTTTTAAGGAAAGTGAGCCCTTCTGCCAGAGTTCAGCCAGACTCACGCTGTCCTGGTCCAGGCACGGATCTGGGCCTCCCGGCCCCAGGATCTTTACAGGGCAAAAGTCAAAGGAAGCGCTAACGGACCCAGTGCCAGTCTGCCAGGTGCGGTGCCCTGGCCTGAGGGACCACTGGGAGGGCCCGGGGGGGCGGCCTCCGCCTCTCTGCTCTGGGCCTTATGCCCTCCTGTGCGGTGGGGAGGAAATCATGGGTGCCCCCACCCCTGCCCGCTCCGGGACGAGGGTGGAGATAAGGAGGGGACACAGGACTGCTGGCTGCTCAGTGGGCCCCGGGACCCCACGCGCGCCCTCTACTCACGGTTTCTGGTTCTCATAGCTCTTCAGACGGCCCACCTCTCCCATGTACACTTTGGCTGGGTCTATGTCTGGGTGGACCACCAGCGCATACTGGCGAATGCTGGAAGGGGAGACAGGGTGAGGCGGGGAGGGGCCCGGGAGGAGGGAGGCTGCCTCAGGGACAGGGACTGAGACCACGCCTGCCACCCCGCCGCGGGGAGGGTCTGGAGGCGGTGCGAAGGAGAGGGAGCCGACAAGGAGGAGGGCTGGGGGGGCCTGGCGAGCTGCCGGCTTCGAGGCCATTCCGTGAGAAGGTAAGGAAAGCCCCCACTGCCCAGCAGAGCCCGAGTGCCTGGACCCAGCCTCACGCTCTGGGACTCAGCTTCTACCAGCTTCTCGTGGGGTCCCCGCCGGGGCCCCTGCAGGCCAGCTCTCCCACCCTTGGGGGGCGCTCGCTCCCCGCCCAGCCTGCGGGCACACACTCACCTGCACTCCTCTCCGGTGGCTTCCACCCCAAAGTGCTCGCACACGGCCGGCCAGAACTGCTCACGCCACGTCAGGAAGTCCTCCTCCAGGCTGGCGACACGAGGGAATGAGCCCAGCCCCGGGGAGCCCGAGGGCCTCAGGGATGTAACCCACGGCACCGGGCAGCATTTGGAGGGTTTGTGCAAACCCCGGGGCCGGAACAGCCGAGAGGAGGGGGTGAGACAAAGAAGGGGGTGCAGGTGGGGTGTGGGGACCTCCTTCCCTTGCCTCGGGGTGTGCCTGGCAGGAGGCTCGCTGACACGTGGCTTTGTGCTCCCCTCCCCTCGCGTGCCACAGTCGGCCCTAACCCCCGTGGGCTCCGGGGCTGGGTGGGTGGGGGGGGCACTCACTTCCCATCGTCATCGCCCATCCCCAGCTCAAAGATCCGCTGGGCGCCGAGCTGCTCCAGCCGCTTGTCCACGTACTTGCCCATGGCATTGAAGTGCTCATAGGTCTTGTTCCCAAGACCAAACACCTGTGCGGGCAGAGGGGCGGGTCTGAGTCCTGGTCAGGGTCAGGGGTGGGTTTCCCCAGAGCTGGCCACCCCGCATGCACGCTCGGGCCTCCACGGCTGCCAGATGCCCGGCACAGTGAGGTGGGCCACCTTGGCCCCCGGAAGTGGCTGGGTTTTGGTGACCTGCAGCCTGTAAGCCTCACCCCTGGGTGAGCAGCAGGGGCAACTCACCGTCCCTACCCGGCGCTCCTGGCCCAGCCAAATCGGGGCCAGCCTGCTTCACCTTTCTCGCCTGTCAGCTCCCGCAGCCTGTGCCCCCGGGGAAGCAAAGTGGGGCCAGGGACAGGGGAGGAGACGCTCAACACGGGGCCCCGGCCAGAAGAGAGGGCTGTCCCCAGAGCAGCCTCCCCCCGGCCTCCCCGCCAGGCCCCCCAGCTGGAAGCGCCCTGGCCGATCAGAGTGAGGTGGCAACGGGAGGGAGGCTTTCCCCTTGGACACGGGGGTCCAGAGGCCCGGGAGAGGTGCCACAGGCAGGGAAAGCCACTGCAGAGAAGATGGGGTGACTCACCGCATACTTGACTCCAGTGAGGTCCAAGTTGGTCTCCTGGAGCCAGTCGTAGAAGTCCTGGGCGTTGTCCGTGGGGTCCCCCTCACCATAGGTGGCCATGCAGAACACGGCCAGGGAGTTCTCGATGTCCGGCAGGCTGCCCAGGTCGGCCTGGGGACACAAGAGCGGGGCCCGGGCCCAGCAACCCTGACTGAGCCACGTCAGGTCTGTGCCTGATGGGATGCAGACAGGTGGGCCCAGGCCCTGCCCGGGGCAGCTGCCAGGCAGGGGCGTCCCACAGGCTCCGGGTCGGCCGGGGATTCCTTCAGGACAGGGTGTCAGTCAGGGAGGCCTGCACGGAAGGGGCTGAACCGGTGCGTGGGACAGTTAGACATCTGCAGTTTGGAGTGGAGGGGGGTGTATTTCCCGAGGGGAGGGAACGGCAGGCTCAGATGAACACGGGTGAGGGCCTGGGTGCTGAGCCCCCAGCTGGCACTCAGAACCTGGGCCCCTGGGGGAGAGCCTCTTCGTCCCGCAAAGTCCCAGGAGCACAGCGGAGCCTGGGCTCTTGCAAATTCCTTACCAACTGTTGACCAACCTAACACAGAGATCTGCAGCCAGAGGGGTGGCGGTGCTGGTCCCCGAGACTAAAGGACGTTGGGCCGCGTACAGGTCGGGCCTGGGCCATGACCCACAAGGACCCCATCCGGGGAGGAGCAGGACGGCAACTCCGGACTTCTCCCAGGACCACCTGTTCCTGGCCAGCCTCTTCCCCTCCCTGGGGCCGGCGACCTGGCTGGCATTAGCTCTCCTACCCGTACCCCCCCCCCATAAACAGGCAAGCAGATGGCTGGACGTTTCCATCGCCATGCTCAGGAAAGGACAAACAGCCAATGACAGGAGGCCAATGAGCAAGGCGAGCCTGCCCTGCGCCCCCTGCAGGAGAGGCTGGGGGCAGTGGAAAGCAGGACGTGAGCACTAAGTCCGGCAGACAGGCCTGGGGTGACCTGAGGGGAGCTGATGGGGGACAGGGGCATCCTGCAGCTCCCAACAGGGGACCTTAATCCCCAATTCTCAGGCTCCCTGGGCCCTTCCCTCCGGCCCTGTTCCTGTTCCAGTTAATACACGAGCTTTTTAATAAAGTCTCGTTTCACAGCCTAGCTGCAGGGCTCCGTGCGGTGCCCATCCCGGGCTGCCCGGGCTGCCTCCCCTGCCGCTACGGTTTGGGGGCGCAAGGGAGAAACAAGAAACCCTTCCTTCCTGGACTGCTGAGACCCGATCCACTAGGTGCTTGAGTCCCGTCTCCCTGCACCGGCCAGCCCGGGCAAGCCTATGGCGTGCAGGGCAGGGGAGGCTGGACATGCACGGCGCCGGGAGCTCACACCTGCACGCCCGGGGCCACCCGGTGACCCGGACCAGCGACAGGAGATGCCCATGACTGTCCGTCCCTTCGGCTGGCTCAGTCCCTTACACGTCTCCATGCTCTGGACGCCTTCGTCGCTACTGGAAGGGCCAAGGTGCGGGGAGTGCTCACCAAGTCATACTCCTCGGGGTCTGCAGCCATGCCCCGCATCCCGTAGCGGTGGGCGTCCTTGGACAAGCGGTTGGCAAACTCCTCCGCCGTCCCCGTCTGGGAGCCGTAGAACACGACGATGTTCCTGCCCTAGAGAAAGCAAGACACGCGGGGTCAGTGAGGGACCAAGAGCCACAGGCTTCACCTGAGACTCCAGGTGACCGCAGGGCAGGCTAGGCAGGTGGGGTCCCTCAAGGGGACCCTCTCCCTTCCTGCCTCCAGTCCTCCTAAGTCCCTCTGGGGCAACCCTCTCGCTGCCACAGCTACTGTGATGGACGGTGACCAAGGCCACCCAGACACGCAGCTGTTCGAGATCACACTTTAGACAGATTATTAAATGACACGGGAAAAAAACACAATGTAATGTTCAGTTAAAAAAAAAAAAGGTGACCAAACAGGTATGTACAGTATACTCCCATTTTGTTCTAGACCCACATCATGTGTACCTCTATGCGTTTTGTTTATACACAAATGCACAAGGGGGAAAGACTAGCAAGAAGCAGACCAATAGTCTCCACATGGAGAACTGTGATTACAGAATATTCTTTATAAAAATCCAGACGACAGGAAAGGTACCCAGTGGATGGGCTCCCACGCTCTTCACTCAACCCGCCTCTTCCTGTGGCCTCTCCCGCAGCTGTTGAGAAGCCAGACCTCTATTCCCCAGACTCCCTTGTGGCTTGGGGTGCAGCAAATTAGGCCCAGCTGACTGGATGTGGAAGGCTGGGAGGCGGAAGCCAGGCATGTCCACCTTCCGGTCCCTTTATGTAACATGAGGTCTCTCTGCGGTAGGTTTCCAGTGCCCTCAAGCCCTAGACTGCTGTCTGGTTTTTCCATGGAGCCCTAACGTGTGGGTACAAAGGAAAAAAAAATGTATGGATTATAATTGCTTTAAATTGTTCTCATACCTTTTCTATTTCCTGAATGTCCTATAGATCATCTACAAAGGTTCTTTTAAAGAATCGTTACAAAAACTAGCGAAACAGGGAAGTCTCAGGATTTCAGGTTAAGGGGACAAAACAGAATATGAAATAGTACCTAAATGTTTACAGTGGCATCAAAACATATGAAGTACTTAGAGATAACCCTTCCGAGGAACCTGCAAGAAGCTCCTGATGAAGGATTCAACCGAAACAAGAGGCCCGGAGTTTGCACACAAAGACTCAACGTTCAAGAGATCCGTTCTCCCCGCATCAATCCAGAAACCAACACCAGTCAGCGCAACATCCGAACAGCTCTTTTTACCCCCACAACTTCATCCTCAAGGTCGTGTGGAGAAATAAATCCCTCTGCTGGAATGTGATTTGGCAATGAGAAGGAAAGCAGGGCCGGCACGTGCCACGAAATGGAGCCCGAAGCCACGAAGCTCAGTGAAAGGTGCCGGACACGAAAGGCCACACACGGAATGATTCCGTTTATAGGAAAGGTCCCCAACAGGCAACTCTCTAAAGGGCCCAGGAAGTGGATGAACGGTTGCTTCGGGCTGAGGGGGGTGTGGGTTAGGGAGTGGGGAATGGCTGCTAATGGGTACAGGGTGGCTTTTTGGGGTACCGAATGTTCTAGAATGGACGGTGGTGGTGGTTGGTGCAATTCTGGGAATACATTCAAAGTACTGAAGTGTATACTTTAAAAGGGTGACCTGTATGCAATGTAAACTGTATCTCACTAAAGCCGTTACCCCAGACAAATACATATAAAATAAGGGCCAGGAAAACAGGAAAATAAGAGCTGGGGCGGGGTTGGGGGCGGGGCCTAGCAATATGGAAATTAAAGCAAGCTTTGTAAAACCTCAGTAACTGAAACAGTAGGATACTGTCCACAGACAGCCAGATCAAAGTACTGTGACAGGAAAATCTAGAAAAAGGCCCAAATACATGTGGGAATCATATATTTGATAAAACCAGTGGGGAAAAGACGGGCGCAATTGCATGGAGCTTAGCAGTGGATCCATGCCTCGCATCGTACAGCAGGATAAATTCCCAACAGACTGAATTTTAATTATGAATGAGAAAGTATTAGAAAGCACTGAAAAGAAAATGTGCAAGGATTCTTTTCTCTTTAGCCTTAATGACTCAAATTGCAAATAACTGAAAGTCCAGAAGTCACAGGAGGAATAAAGTGCCCTCACTGAATAACTTTACACGGCAACACACACACACGCACACACACGCACGCGTGCACATGAACCAGGTCAAAACACAAACTTTTAACTGGGAAAATATTTGTAACTTGTGTCACAAACAAGGGGTTACTCTCCATCATTTTAAGGAATTCCTCGAGAAGGATCAATCCCGACAGAAGAGTGGGCAAAAGATTTGAAGAGAAAATCTATAAAAAAAAGAAATGCCATTGGCATAACACACAAGAATCTGCTGAAACCCATTCACAAGAAAAATGCAAATTGGAGACAGCTTTTTTTAACCGAGAAAACTGGCAAACCTCCAAACTTGGATGATAAACTCTCCTGGCAAGGCTGTGGGGCAACAGGTTTGCCCACACACAGCTAAGGAGGGTGCACTGGTGTGACCCCGGGGCGGGCGGGCGTTGCAGGGGGCGGGAATCTGGCAGCTTCTATCACAATTACAAATGCACACACCTTTGGATCCAACAATTCCACTTCTGGGATTTTACTGTATTTGCAGATGTGGACACTGGTCTCCAGGGACCCAGCAGCATCGTTTGTAAGAGCTAAAGGTTAGAAATAGTCCGACGCCCCCTCCCCACCTCCCCGACAGGGCAGAGCAAAAACAAAGGGTCGTATTCACGGTCACAGAATGAAATCACTAGGCAGCTACAGTAAAGGAGGGAGGGGTCTTGGAATTGGCTATGGAAGGAGCTCTGACACACATCAGTAAGTTAAAACAAAAAACAAAAAAACCAGGTACAGAAAAGCATGGTTTATGACATATAATTGCCACCTTTTGTGTTCTGAGAAGATGTAAAATAAGGATCTGGGGGTTTTTTGGTGGCATAGAGGAGCCCTAGAAGGATCCACAAAAGGCTAAGAACAATGGTGATGAGTGGCAGGGACAGGAGAGTTTGTTTGGGATTTTAAGCGTTTGAATGTAGTACTTTCCCATAAAACGAAATACTTCAACAAAACCAGAGAAAACCACAGCTGGGCTCTGGCCACAGCTGTGTGAGGTTTCTATCTGCTCCAGCCTGGGGCCTGGACCGGGAGGAAGGACAAAGGGAGAGCCCCCCGAGTCGGAGGGAGGGGCTAGTCTTACAGTGCAGTTGGTTCAAGAAGTAAACATCCGAAAAAGAGGGTAAGCCTTCTGGGCAGGGCAGAGCAACTTCGGGCTCTGGTTAGCCGAGAATGTTCGCGCCCGCTCTCCCCTCCTGTCCAGAGGAGCTGGCCTCCCTCCCTCGTCCACCAGGGCCACGACCCCCCGGGGAAGGGCACAGACATGGAGAAAACTCACCGTCTTCTTCATCTTTTCCACAAAGCTGCTGTCTTTGACGGAGGAAGTCCTGAAAGACAAAAGTACCCGGTGGGCATGGAATGCGCGTGGCCCGAGGGCAGGACTCTGAGCTCCCCTCCGGCTCAGCCTCCCCACGTCCTCTGCAGCCAGTCCAAAGCCTCTTGAGACGCCACCGCTGCCAGAGGCAGGCCCTCCAGCCCCCAGATCCATGCGAGCAAAGAAGGGTCCCTACTCCCGTCCCTCACCATCCAGCCAAGGGTCCCGATGGCCCTATCTCACCTCCAGTCCCCGCAGGCTCCCAAGGCCACAGACCAGGGCACGCAAGTCCCTTCAGAAGCTGTCCCCGGCCTCGCCTCCCACTCCCTTCCACACGCCATACTCGGACGCACCGATCTGTACACCACTTCCTCCGGGATGGCCCTCAGGATTGTGTCCCACCGTGGCCTCTGGCCCAATGCTCCCATCCACTGCCTCACCCCACAGACCCCTGCTCCGCTCCCAAGACCCCTCCCCGTCCCCGCACTGGGGCCACTGTGACCTGTTCCCTGGGGCTGTAGCACCTTCTAGAATCCTGCACCTCATCCTCCCGAGAGCAGCACCACTGCCGGCCCACCCTCCACCTCCCTGCTGCTGGCCGCCTGCCCCCCGTTCCATTTCCGGTCCTTTCCCTTCTCTTCTTCCTTGCCCAGGCCTGCAGGGTCATCTGAAGAAGCCCAGTGAGGGGCGCCTGGGTGGTGCAGTCGGCTGAGCGTCGGGCTCGGTTTGGACTCAGGTCGTGATCTCAGGGTCGTGGGATCGAGCCCCGCGTCGGGCTCCACGCGCCATGTGGAATCTGCTGGACATTCTCTCTCCCCCTCCCGCTCGTGCTCTCTCACTCTCTCTAAAATAAATAAATCCTTGAAAAGTAAGAAAAAATAAAAAATAAAGATGCCCAGTGAGCCTGGCCAGGGACCCTCAGGCCTAAGACAGCAAGGCGCCAAAACCAGACACCTCTCTCTGAATGGCAAATCTTCGGGATGTGTGCAGTGCGGCCGGTCTGAATAAAGTGACAAGTCTGAACGCTGAAGTGTGGCCGTCTCCGTTCAAAACGGCACTATTAAGGAACTGAGAGGCGAGCCACGGCACGGCAGGTGTCTGCAACTTCTGTGTATCTGACAGAGGACTCGGGTGGAGAACGTAAGAAAACCCTACCAATCAACTAGCAAAAGACTGGATAATCCAACAGAAAAACTGTCAAAAGACCTGAGCAAGCGCTTTCTTAGAGCATCTAACGCTACTGTCGAGAGTGGCAGCATTGTTAGTCCCCAGGGAAACGGGAAATAAGACCACAGCGCGGTGTACCGTGCGCTCATTAGAACGGCTCCTACCAGGAAGAGAGCCGAAGCTGCTGGAATGGACCTCGGCTCCGCTGCTCCCGAACGCTGCTTGGCAGTCTCTTCTGCCCGCCCATAACCCAGCACCTCACTCCCTGGTGCACACCAGACAGAGCACAGCGGGGCCCGTGCATCGAGATACGCGCATAGAATGTTCCAGCAGTGTTAGACATGTGGGTGCCAAACGGGAAACAACCCTAATTAACGTCCACCCGTAGGAGAACAAACAAACCGACGGTGGCATATTTAGACAACGGAATATTCTCCACCGCGGCATGAATGAATGAGTCCCAGGGTGGGGTGCTGAGCGTGAGAAGCCAGATGGAAGAGAGAGTGTGAGTACGACTTCATTGTACAAAGTCCCCAAACAGGCGAAACCAATGCACATGGACCGGAGTCAGGACGCGGCGAGGGACAGCAGGGGCTCCCAGGGCACCGAGAACAATCTGCGCTTTGATCTGGGCGGTAATTCCGCCTTGCTCACCTGCTGAGATCATCTCTCTGCGTGTACCTGTCTGTGGATATTCTATTTTAATAAAGTTTGTGCTTCCACAATTTGCTTCTCAAACCCACTTTTTCCCACAAACAACACCCTCGGGCCGGCAGGGGTGCCACGAGGGGGAGGGCCGAGCAGGGGCTCTGGAGCCGGGCAGCCCGGGCTGCGGCCTGCAGACTTGCAGCGAGTGAACTTGAACCTGGGCTCCGTTGCTCCTCGTCTTGAAAACGGGACTAACAAACACCACTTTGCACGCTTTTGCAAATGTCGCATGATGACACGGACATAAGGGTGCAGCACTGTGTCCGGGGGGACTGGGTGCCCACCTTCCAGAGGCCCAACAGCATATTAGTTTGTGGCCAGTAAGGGGGTCAGGCAACGGCCCGATCGCAGTCTGACTCCAAGGTCTTTGCCCTTTCCACGACATCCTGCGGCCTCCTGTGCACGGGACAGTGTAATAAAGTCATGCGCACACCCTACCACTGCATGGAAGCGCTGTCTGTGGGGGCCAGGGGGCTGGAGTCTGTGGAAAGACCAACAAGGAAGCTTCCTTTTAAGGAGGGCTCTGCGAAGCTGTTTAGACACACGATTTTGCAAACGTAAAGGTAGCAGAAGTTCCTGTCTACGCCCCGCTGGGTTTTTCACTACATTAGGTCCAGGGCCCCAGGGCTCAAGGGCGTTACCTGTGGGGTCCCCTGGGAGGCAGCAGGGTGCTGCTGCCCAGACCTTCCCGCCCAGCCATGGTCCCGCTGCCCAGGAACCCGGAGCAGGCCCTCCCCGACTCCGCATCACCAACCCAGAGCCCCCCCGCCCCCGGGGCAGGCCCACCCCTCCGGGAAGCAGGGCAAGAGCAAGCCTGGAGGCCCTCAGGCCCGCACCCCTCCCTTCCCTGCTCCAACATCTCAGACCACATGTCCAGCTTCTGTCCCTGCCCCACCTCGAACAGCCCCGTCTTCCCTGCCCTTCCCGTCTGTGTTCCGCCGGGACCAGGACGCTCTCCCGGGGCTCGGAGCTGGGACTCCCACCACTGTACGCCTGCTGAATTCTGAGCCGTGGGAGCGGACGACCTACGCTGAAACAAACTCGAACATGAACGGACGCTTCGGCGACGCAAACCTTGCTGATGAGACACTAGAAGAGAAGAGCAGGGGCTCCCAGGGCACACGTGATTTCCCTTTGTACGTGGCCATGGCCACACGAGAGCCACTGATCTGTACGTTTTTAAAAAATGATCAGAATGGCAAAGTTCACAAGGTGTGAGTTTCCCTTCAACTGAAAACGAAAACAAACGAAATGCACTTAGTTGACACCTAAAAAGCATCCACCCAGTTGTGCCCCCCCAGTGCTGACCACGACATGGCCTCCCTCCCACGTGGCCGTTTCTGGGGGAGGATGCGCGACCCAGAGGAGCAAAACAAGAGTGTGTGTCCTTAAATAACGGAACACACACCATTAATTATTCCCAGAGACAGGGCTTCCAGGGAAATACCCCAGCACCTGGAGGGGGATATTGCGGGGTTAGAATACGAGGCAGGTGCTTCCTGTGATGTTCCCAATTTTGGTTTTTCAAATTACAAATGCATTTTACAGTTATAAAAGGAGGGGACAACTCCAATGTCTAAGAATCAGGGAGCGTGGATCACATCCACCAGCAGGGAAGGATGCTCGAGATACGCTGCCAAGTGGAAAAAGCAGGTTATAGAATAATGCAGGTGGCACAATTCCATTCCGATTAGAAGGGAAGGTACGGAAGGGCACACAAGAGCACGCTGAAAACTGTTCCCTCCCAGGGCTGAGTGACTGTCTTTTTTGATTCCTTCTTTGGCTGATTTCTATTCCCAGGTCCCCCACCCCTCTTTTTCCTACATCGAGCACGTAACGCTTCTGCACCAAGAACATAAAAACTGCATCCTAGGCTTAGAAACGTGCGTGGAGACAGATCTGGAAGGCTCCGTCCAACGAGGACAATTAGGAAAGCAAAGCCCCGAGCAGGGACCGTATCACAGACGCTACTCCGAGGAGCACAGAGGCCTCTGGTGCGGAGCGCGTCTCGCACCTTCCAGACGCCCGGGGCCACGCCGACCTCCTGCTCACGGCTGCCCCGGAGCCTCTCCTCACGATGCCCTTCCTCTCTGTCCCAGACTCCTACGTATCCCTTAAGACACAACGCACAAGTTCCTCTTCGGAACGCCTCTCCCTGCTGCTCACGTGGCACACAGGCCTCCGTCCGGGCCCTCAACTCCATGCTCCCGACTCACTGCTGGATCTGAGGCTCGCGGGGAGCTGCTTGGGCCTCTGCGCTCAGCCCCGCGCCCGGCACTGAGCGTGGCCTCTGGGCCGGTCGGGCCGGAGAAGGCTGTTGGAGGGCTCCTGACCCACCTGACGTCAGGGTCTGACAGCAGCAGAAAAGCCAACTCCTGCCTCTTCTCAAGGACTAAGGTTTCGTAGAAGCTGCATCTGAGGAAGGGGGATTTGAGACTCGCTCACGGAAGCAGGAGGGGTGCCCCCACCACCCTGCGAGTGCCAGCACCAGCGTCCGCGGACAATCATGGAGGATGGGAGGCCCACCCCCCGAAGTGGGGGAGGCTCGAGTTTGAATCCTGGATCTGCCACCAAATGGGCCTGTGACGGACGAGTGGTGGCCTTGCAAGGCCTCAGATTCCTCTTACTGAAAACACTGTGTCTTGGCTTCTGTGCCCTCCCCTCCCTGTTCCTTGTAGAGCATCTGGAGCCTGGTTAACTCTCAGGGATAAAGAGGGTGTTCCCTGGAAGAAAGCCGTTTGGGTCACTCTGGGACTTGAAAGATGCCCGGTGGCACTGGGTGGTACGTGCTAAGACCAAAAGGGTGGACCACACAGTCCACCCACAGGGCGTCTGAAGACACCAGCGAAGGCCTCGCGGAAGAACTGGGCTTTCTTCTGAGACAGAAAACGGTTCCCAAGGGAAAGCCACAGAAACCGGGCAGCCGACGGGCTCTTGGATGAGGCTCATGCAGCTGGGGGTGGGGAGGGCGGGCGGGCGGAGCTCAGCTCTGGCCGCCCAGGGGTGTGTGGCTCTGACACATGCATGGGGCGGGAATTCCAGGCTGGCAGCTCGGGAAGTGGGGGGCAGGGAGGTGGGGGGCTCGCCAGGCAGGCCTGGCTGGGAACGTTCAAGGGCGGGCAAGATGGGCTAGCCCTCCTGCTCGGAGGGGAAGTTCTCTCTAGAAGCGTGAGCACCTCTGGAGGCCAGCACGGGCCCCTTCAGTAGCTTCAGCCCTGGGAAAGCAGGAACACTCCCACCCTCTCCCCTGGGCTCCGGGGATGGCTTCCAGAGATCCGGGGAGGACTGTGCTGCATGGGGAGAAAGGGAGAGCCGAGGAGACTCAGGAGGACCCGGTGCCTCTAGTCACCGCCCTGACACGACCCAGTGCAGTTTGCCGATGTTCCCACCGGTTACACACAGCCTTGAGGAGCAGGAGAACCTGCCCCCCCCCACCCCCTGCCACAAAGCCCGGCTGCCAGGCTCGGGGCGGCAGAACTCACCTGCTCCGTCCGCGTGGGTCCACACCTGAGTGCCCTCAACCGGCCCGACCCTGCCGGACAGCTCCACACCGGGCTGTGTGCCTGGAGCCCGCTCTTTCCCAGGTCAGGGAGCCGGCCACTGGGCCTTCCTTCGGAGGCAGGGATTGCAGCCTGCAAACCGGGACCCAAGCAAGAGACCAGTGGTCCCATGCACCCGGTGGGCCCCCCGGGGAACCGCCTGACTCTGCTGGTCAACTCCACAGGGCAGCCTCGTCATGCCTCCAGGGTGAGCCTGCCCAGGCGGGGGCCCCCTCCCGAGGCGCATCGGCGTGGGCTGCCGCAGGGACACGTCTGGAACTGACCTTCTCAGGGTGGGCTCGTCCCGCGGAGAGGAGTACGTGCACCCCATGGCTTCTCTCCCGACCCCAGGACTTAAGGGAGAAGGCAGGTTCCGGCCGTCTCCCGGAAACGGGCAGGGAGCCAGCGGCCAGGAACTCGGGCTCTGTCCATCCCTCCGCAGTGCTGGCGGGGCGGGCCGTGAGCTCGGAGTGCCCTGGACACCCCAGCCCTGCCGGAGCCTCTGCCAAGCCCCGGCCTGCACCCGTCCCCACGGGCGCAGGGAGGACTCGCCACTCCAGCCCGGGACCTCCGGCGATCCCCTGCGTTTGGGCGCTCGCCCCTCCTCCGCCTGTATGGACTGAGGGAAGGAGAAAACCTTTCCAACCCCGACTCGGGTCTCCTTGGTAACTGCTTATATCGGAGCCCTTTCTCCCTACTTCCTCCCCCTTTCCCAATTGAAAAAAAAAAGGGGGGGGAGAGTCATGAGGCTGAATACAGCTCTTCTAGACACTAGAAGGCAGGTTGCTATGGCAGGGCTGATTCTCCACAAAGGAAGCTGCAACCATCCCGCTGCCAGGGCGCCTCAGGACCCTATTAAATTAGCTCTGGTTCCCGTCTTCCCTGCCACAAAAGAGCTGTGGGCAACAGAGCCCCAGCCCCCGGGCCCCTGTCACCTGGCAGCAGCCTGTGTGCAGAGAGACCACATCGTGCCCTCCCACTGCGCGGGGGGCAGGCGCCCTGCACGGTGGGCCCCACATTCGCTGCTGAGACGTTGCCCCCCGAGGGGCAGCCCTTCCGAGGCACCCGAGTACAAAGAGCCAGCGGAGGAGGCCGCAGAGGGCCCAGGCTCGGAGCCCAGAGACCAGGCGGGTCCAGTTAGGGCTTTCCACTCCTCAACCGGGAGCAGGAATCTCTCCGGTTCGGGCCTCAGACATCATCTGCAGGCCGCCATGTGGGGAGGACGAGAGGGAGGGGGGACGAAAGCACTGAGTCACTTGGAAAGAGATGAACCCAGCCGTCCGGGTGGATTCATTTCGCCTCTACTCCCAACTCTAGTGCAATTCTCTACGGGGCGGACGTCTCCTGAGACTTTCCCTGCCCTTGGTGAGCCAGGCGGCAGCTGCTGGGGAACAGCTGCCTTCCAGAGCCCGGTGTGGAGGCAAGGTCTCCACTCCCCGGGGGCGAGGTGCCCGCGACCAGAGAGGGGGCAGTGCTGAGCTGCTACGTGCTGGGCAGAGCCGGGGGCAGGCTGGCTGGCACGCACAGCAGGACGGGGGCCCGGATTTCTCTACCGCAGGCAGGGCAGCTCCCTGGGCCCCATGGCTGAAAGTGAACGGTTTGCAAGAGCTGCTTTGGTGAAAACAATGTGATGTGCTGGAGCTTACATTCGACCCAGCGGCCCTCTCACCTGCGGGAACGAGAACGGACCAGCAGTGGTGCACCCAGTGGGGACGGGGCCCTCTGGCAGGTGGGAGGCCATGGGTCAAAGCCGAAACACGGAACGGGAACTCCGACTTATCGAGTGCCTACTGTATGCCAGCTAGTATTCAAGGAGCTCTCTACTGTACTTCATTTAATCCTCTCTACCCCCATTTCACAGCCAAGGACAGGGAGGATTGGGTGTGGTGGGGGGAGGGGGGCAGGAAGCCAACTCCAGGCCACGAAAGCCCAGAGCCGTGGCAGGTCACGACCGCCCCATGAGCAGAGCAGGCTGAGCCCAGCTCCCCGGAGTCCCCAGACACGCTCAGAGAGCACCTCATGGCCCTTCCCAGCGATCTCCAGGGCTCCTCGGCCCTCAACATGTGGGGTGCTCTGACGCTCAGGGGCTACGGTTTCCCTCAGGGACACCCTCCCATATTCCCCAGCATGCGGACCAGGACTCTACACCTGCCGTGCGGGGCCCAGGTGGCCTGCCTGCCCAACAGCACGGGGCAGCGTGCTGGCTTCGCCCTTCCAGCCCTGCAGACCCCTGGGCGGTGACCCCCAGTTCCCTCGGTGACCCTCGACTCCCTTCCTGACAACGGACTCCCTTGGTGACCTCCTGTGGTGACGCCTCTCCCAGAGCCGCCCGGCCGGTCCTTGCCCTGAACTTCTGCACATGCTTCTGCTCTGTGTGCCCAGCTGCATCTGTGCTGTGGGCCTGCTTTCCACTTAGCTCCCCAAACTCAGTTTGGGGGCACCTCAATCCTGGCACAGGGGAGGGGTGACCCTCTTCTGCATTCCCACTACCTCTGGAAACACTCATCGCTCCCCAATGCATGGAGCCCCCGAGGACACTGCCTGGCACGGAGACGGAGCGAGCAGCAGCGAGCCCTGGGTGAGGCCCAGCGAGGTCCAGGGGTCCACAGACGCCCAGCTCGGCAGACAGGCCACCTTCAGAGCCGCAGGCACTAGATCGAACGGCAAAAACACTCCGATCTCAGCAGAGGACAGGGAGGAAGGAGAGGCAGTGAAGTCCCTCACGGTCAGGCAGCGGTGGACAACCCAGCCCTGTGCTCGAGGGGGCAGCGTGAATACCCTGAGCCCCTTCTCCCACCACTTCCCCTGACGGTGGGAGGCTTCGGGCACTGCTCACCCTCCATGTCCACAGAGGCCTCTCCCCCGTGCCTGCCTCTTTGTTCAGCTCGTGTGAGCGTGTTTTCACGTTGGGCAGAGCCCAGCACCTCTCTATAGAGAGAGTGACCCTGGACTGGACATGGAAGAACTCTGGCCCTCTTTCCATCCGCCAGCGCTCCAAAGATGCAGACGGATGGGCATGAGGCTGGCAGCCTTGACGCGTGGCTTTCCCGGCCCTTCGGTGGAGAGCAAGCCCCCAGATGAAGGTCACGCGGGAAAATGAGCTCCTCTGTGGCTTTTCAGAAGCAAGCCCCAATGGGATGCCATCAGTAAAATCCAGACTGTGGGAAACTGTGAAACAGACGATCTGGTTTCTGGAACAAAAACGCTGCAGGGAGACACCCGGGATGGAGGGGCAGCCCATCCAGCGAGAGACTTCCTGTCACGTTGAGGAGGAGAAGCCAGGCACCAACGGCTATAGCTGTGTCATTCCATTCGCGTGACATTTGGGAAAAGGCAAAACTACAGGGACAGAAATAAGATCGTGGTCACTCGGGGGGTTGGGGGGGTGGGTGGGTGTTCACTGCACAGGGACACGGGGAATGTTGTACGTCTTGACTGTAACACTGCTTATACAACCACATATCTCTGGCAGAACTCATCAAATGGCACTTTTTTTTTTTTTTTTAAGTAGGCTCCATACCCCGCGTGAAGCCCAATATGGGGTTTGAACTCACAACCCTGAGCTCAAGCCGGGAGCTGAGATCAAGAGTCGGATGCTTAACTGACTGAGCCACCCAGGCGCCCCGAACTGCATACTTTAAAAAGGTGGGTTTTGCTGCATGTAAATTATACCCGACATATCTGACCCCCCAAGAGAGAGTCTTACAAGATTTATTTATCAACTGCCGTCTTGCTTACATCCTGAATTTTTAAAAAAAGTGTTAAAAAAAAAATCTATCGGGCGCCTGGGTGGCTCAGTTGGTTAAGCGACTGCCTTCGGCTCAGGTCATGATCCTGGAGTCCCGGGATCGAGTCCCGCATCGGGCTCCCTGCTCGGCGGGGAGTCTACTTCTCCCTCTGACCCTCCCCCACTCTCATGTGCTCTCTCTCTCTCAAATAAATAAATAAAATCTTTAAAAAAAAAAAATCTATCAGTTAATCAGGAACTATGAACAAATGCTACTCAGTGTCTGAGGATCCGGAAGCTTGCGGCTGGATAGCCCTGAGCTGCGTTCAAAAAGGAGGCCCTTGAATTTTAGAAGGCTGGACTATTTTCACATTTCATACAATTCCATGTGAAAGATCTCCAAATTTGCTACGAAATCATGATTCCTTTATTCAGACTTCACATGGATGGCATGACTACTTCTGAAATATGATGGCTCTCAGATAAGCCAGGAGTAGCGGGGAGGAGAGGAAACATGACTCCGTACAGGTGGAGGGCTGTTTACGCTGGGTGATCGGGGCTGGTGCTCGAGTTCACTCTTTGTGCTCTGTGTTTCGGGGTTTGTTTGAAATGTTCCACAGTAAAAAGCTGTTTCTCTTTAAAGCACTCTCAGGCGCCAGACATGAAGCCGAGGTGTGTCACGTTGTGTGTCCTCACCTCCAACAGAGCCGAAGAAGAGCCCAGAGGCCCAGGCTGCGGCGGGGTGCGGGCCCCCCTACAAGGGTGGTCCTGTTCAGCTGCACACTGCTGCCAGGCCTCAGCGGGGACCCAGAGCCTCTGATTTCTCTTTTTTTTCTTCAAGAGAAGCTATAAGTCTGGGTTTTATGTACCAGCCTTTGCAATGTTCGAATTTATTTTTGGGGGGGTGGGGAGGAGCAGAGGGAGAGGGAGAGAGAGAATCCTAAGCAGGCTCCATGACCAGTGCAGAGCCTGATGCAGGGCTCGATCTCATGATCCTGAGATCATGACCCGAGCAGGAATCAAGAGTCAGATGCTTAACTGACTGAGCCAGTCAGGCGCCCCTAAATGTTCTAATTTAAAACAATGTTCTAATTTAAAGGTCTAAAACCCCCGTGCAAGCCAAGGCCAGCCTGTGGGCCAGTCCGCCCCAGAGACAGCCGCGGGAATAGGCTTAGTGCTGACTAATAACAGCCGTTTTCCGAATGTCCCACGCGAGGGTCCCACACAGGGGTGGTGCCCGAGGGGAGGCAGAAATACAAATGCCCATCCAAAAAGACAGGTGCTCCACGCAGAGTGTTGTGCTCCATGCGTGAGCAAAGTGGGGGCAGCGGGGCCCCTGGAGCTTCAGACTCCTGTGGGAACCATCATACCCTGGTGGTCTTTGACCAGGAGCCACCCTGGAACGTTCTGTCCAGGGGCACAAGCTGGGTGGAGGCTGAGGACTAAGTGGGAGTGGATAGGAAACAGCCACTTCTGGAGTTACTACCAGCATCATTAAGAGAATGTGCTGCTCTCTTCAACAAGCCTTTAACTGCTATTACAAACAGTTCAAAAGGCCTCCCCAGGGCATACAACTGTGTTTGTAGACCAGAAGACTCCATATTGTAAGGTGCCAATTAATTTACAGATGTGATCCAATCCCAACTAAAACCCCAGCAGGGCTGGTTTTATTCCCTCTTTGGTTTTGGTGGACATTGACAAGCTGGTTCTAAAAGTTACACGGAAATGTCAAGGGCCCAAAGAAGCCAAGCGAATCCTAAAAAAACAAAGCTGGAGGACGTGGCCTACCAGATATAAAGTCAAGAGTGACTACGAAAGCACAGAAAATAGAATACTGCGGTATTGACGAAGGGACAAAAAAGCAGATCAAAGGGACAGAACAGTCTAGAAACTAACCCGCATTTCACAGGTCAATCACGGTTATCTGATTTATATCAACAGTGATGCTGAAGGGCAGTGGGAAGACAAGGGCCTTTTTCAATACCTGGTGCTGGGTCCAGTGGATGGATGGCCACAGGGGACAAAATGAACCTTGAAGCGCCACACACAACTGGCCAATGCCAAGTCAATGTCAGCTGGACGGAGGTCTAAGTTTAAAGCTACACCAAAGGGACGCCTGGGTGGCTCAGTCGGTTAAGCATCTGCCTGTGGCTCAGGTCACGATCCCGGGAGCCTGGGATCGAGTCCCACATCTGGCTCCCTGCTCAGGGAGGAGTCTGCTTCTCCCTCTGCCCTTCCCCTGCTTGTGCTTTCTCTCAAATGGATAAAATCTTTAAAACAAATTAAAAAATAAAAGAAATAAAAAAGATTTATTTTAGAGAGAAAGAGAGCATGAGCAGGGGGAGGGGCAGAGGGAGAGGCAGACCCCCCACTGAGCATGGAGCCCGACTCGGGGCTTGATCTCACGACCCGGAGATCATGATCTGAGCCGAAAAGAAGAGTTGGATGCTTAACCTGACTGAGCCACCCAGATGCCCCTCAAGGAAGCTTTTAAAAGAAAACATAAAAAGAACATCTTTATGGGGCGCCTGGGTGACTCAGTTGTTAAGC